ATCAGCAAAAAAGCACCTGAATAAACGCTAAAAGTTAATTATTACATCTATTTGTATACCACGTGCACCTTTTTTTCGAAACATTTATAGGAAAAATGGGATGTGCGTCATATATATGCAGGTATGAATTTTTAAAAATATGTAAGTTTTATAGGTGCGCAATATATTTGAATATACAGTATTTACATGGGTTGGCGGTCCAAGATAAGCTAAAAAAAAAAAAACGCAGTGTATTGGAGGTGATATAAAATGAGTCAAATTTAATATTACTTCATGTATAAATCAAAATTTGGGTGCTGTCATTCATGAAATATTGCATTTTCGGAGTCATTAAAATGATGGGCGTGCTGTCTAACTTGGAGATACAATTCCATTGGAAAATTTCGACTGAAAAACCGCGGTGTGCATATTTATATCAAGGGCATGATGGATTCAAGTAAAAACGGAATTATGTATTCAGCAATGAATGAAACATTGGAGAACGACGAAATTCGGGAATTATATTGCGAATGAAAATCAAGGTCGCATTATGAATTCATTTAAAGTACTGTACAGTAATGTACTACATTTTCGGTTTGAACGGAGTATCTGATTGTCATACTTTGCGGAACAGACGCGAGTTAACCGCAGTGCAAGCAAAATAAATTATGCATCGCCAGACGCTGCAAATCGATGATGTGCGTCGTTGAATGGGGAAAGACAAAGTCGGCACGTCGTTAGAAAATATAGGGAAGACTGCCGCGGAAATTTTGCCGTGGTTTTTTCCTGAGGACTTCAAATAAGCAAAAACATCGCAGAATACATTTTTGCGGTGCTTACATTGTTCAGCCTCTGCAGAACACGCAAGCTGAAGAAGATATTCACGAGAATAAGTTTTTATATAATCATATTATTTTTAACAAAAAGTGCTAAATGCTGACACACGGTTAACTAAAATTTGCTTAGGTAGCATTCGTTAAGAGATAGCTTTACGATTTGTTTTTAATACATTGCAAGCCATTGCACTCAGGTAGCGTGAAAAGTGTAAGGTTCTTAATTTATGCTTACCATAAAAATAACTAGGGAATGGACGGTAACCTTTCTTCCGTTTCCAGTTCAGGGCACAAGAAATACAATTCCAATTTATCAGTAATTCGGGTTGTTTATAACCGATTTTATCATTCTTGATTTTATGGAAATATATTTGTAAAGCAGATACCGGATTTGCCGCACAGTGAAGGATCCTTGGTCGACTTCACAAAATATTCATTTTGTCGTGAAATGGTAAAAGCTTTGCTATCGAAAGATCAGGAAATTCGAAAAGAAGATTTTGTGTAATATATTAGCATTATTACGTAACCTGATACCCTTGTAAAAGTTGGGAATGCTTGATGTTACCTGAAATACGAGTCTTGGGTTCATGAAATCACTTGAAAACCAATCCAGGTAGCAAGCTCTTGTTCGATATATTTTTTCATCATGAAAGATGATTTTACGAGGTTTTTCATGACAAAGATCGCCTCCGATTGTTCGAAACGGAATAAGCAGCTGCAAAGACAAATATGATAGAATTTCTCAATACGAGACAAAGTCAATGTGAGCCAACGTTTTGAATACACTAAGAGCTGCATAATTTTTTTTTAAATCAACTATAGCAGACTTCGTAAACATAGACAACCATCTTCTCTTGGACTTAAATTCCGCAATAAGGTCACAAGGTAGTTGTGCAAAGCGTAATGAATAATTTTAACAGTTTCCGTGAAGTATTCATGATCAAAATTTGTTTTTGAAGAGGAAAAATGAAATATTTTAGAAAGGGCGCATCACACCCGCGAAACGTTCATTGATGTAATTTTTAATGCATTTGATTAATTTTAACAGTTTCCGTGAAGTATTCATGATCAAAATTTGTTTTTGAAGAGGAAAAATGAAATATTTTAGAAAGGGCGCATCACACCCGCGAAACGTTCATTGATGTAATTTTTAATGCATTTGATATCACGGGATCATCTAGATAAATTTTCGATTTTTCTCTTGGACGCAACCAAAATTTACCCATTATGAAGTCTGATAAAATGCGTGTCTGATATGCAATGCATATCAGACACGAATAGGTCGCCATAACTAATCCGATCATTTACGGTATCGTTATTATTGTATTATTGAACTTAAAAATGCTTATTATTTCGTTCATTTGCAAGAAATCCTCAACTCGCGAATGGATGATGTAAATAGCATATGATTTTTACAGGAATCACTCTGTATAATTTTTTTTTTTTTTGTGGCAGCATCATTCAGCCCAAAGACGAAACCTTGAGAATGAAAAACATTATCATGGGTACACTTTTGTGAAAGTTCATGTTCATCATCTAGTCTTGATAAGGCCCATCCATCCTCAACAGTTGGAATAATGCAGAATAATGCATTCCTTGTCTGATCCGGTAGACACTAGACACTCCAAGGCATGCGTGGCCATGAACTTATAGGGATCACGCTCTTCTCTGGTTCTCTTGAACAGTCGGCTTGTGTGGTACAAAGAAAAACTTTCATATACCAGGGTTGGTTCATCGGATTTGCCACTTTTTGAAATAGATTCAACTGCGTTTCAACAATTCCATTTTACTTGAATTGCATATATATATCGGCATATTTTGCCATTGCTTTAGTGCTGTTCAAGATACTGGTGGTACCTTGCAATTCAACCTCCTACAATTTGATGGTTGAATTTTCAGGGAGGATGACTTGCAATTCAACCCTTGTCCTGCAAGTTGTTAATTTTAACAGTTTCCGTGAAGTATTCATGATCAAAATTTGTTTTTGAAGAGGAAAAATGAAATATTTTAGAAAGGGCGCATCACACCCGCGAAACGTTCATTGATGTAATTTTTAATGCATTTGAGATCACGGGATCATCTAGATAAATTTTCGATTTTTCTTTTGGACGCAACCAAAATTTACCCATTGTATATCAGACACGATTAGGTCGCCATAACTAATCCGATCATTTACAGTATCGTTATTATTGTATTATTGAACTTAAAAATGCTTATTATTTCGTTCATTTGCAAGAAATCCTCAACTCGCGAATGGATGATGTAAATAGCATAGGATTTTTACAGGAATCACTCTGTATCATTTTTTTTTTGTGGCAGCATCATTCAGTCCAAAGACGAAACCTTGAGAACGAAAAACATTATCATGGGTATACTTTTGTGAAAGTTCATGTTCATCATCTAGTCTTGATAAGACCCATCCTCAACAGTTGGAAAAATGCAGAATAATGCATCCCTTGTCTGATCCGGTAGACACTGTAGACACTCCAAGGCATGCATGGCCATGAACTTATAGGGAACACGCTCTTCTCTGGTTCTCTTGAACAGTTGGCCTGTGTGGTACAAAGAAAAACTTTCATATAACAGGGTTGGTTCATCGGATTTGCCACTTTTTGAAATAGATTCAACTGCGTTTCAACAATTCCATTTTACTTGAATTGCATATATAGCTCGTATAAAACGGTAACGAAATCACGACAAGTTCTATGACCACCATGGAACGTTAAGTTGGAGGATGTTAAACTACCAACTTAAAAGTCCCTCCTACTGAACGTTAAGTTGGGAACAGGACGTTCAACGCCTTATCACTTGTTTGCATTTTTGTACTGATATTTTTGAATTTGTCTTGAAATTCGACTGCTTCACAATTTGACCATACTTGGCAATGGATTAGGGTCAAATTGCGAGGTTAGACATGTACTCTCCATCAAATTCAATTAATTTTTTATGCAATAGATCCAAAGATCAAAACCATGCCAAAAATTGAATTCTGATAATTAATTCAGCTTCTACCTGATGGAATAAATGGGGTCATTGCAAAAATCCTCAAAATCAGTCCTCTTAGAACATTCTCTGCTGTAAGGAACAGCCAGAAGTAACAGGTTGCTTTGACTTTTAAAATTTTTTTTGTGGAAAAAATCAACCAAAAACTATTTGTGATTTTTTATTTCCAATGAATTTCTGAAGATTTTTTTCGGAAAAAGGAAAAAATCCCTCGGAAAAATGCAGTGCACCCTGTGATTTATTCTGGCTGTTCACAACAGTGAAGAATGATCTGAAAAATATTGATATTGAGGACAGTGACAACCTCATTTATGCCATCAAAGAGCAACCAAATAAACTAACGGAATAAAATTTTGTCTTCGCTTGAATCATTGGAATTATTGCTTGAAAAATGCATTTAAATTGGCGGGGAGTATCTTGAACAGCACTAGCTTGCTGCCAAATGATGGGGCTGAGCAAAAAAAAAAAAACTCTGTTGTTCAAACTCTGTTGGATCTAGATTCCAAAAAATTACAAAACTTATGAACCAACCCTCGTGTGCATATCTCAAAATCCTTTTGTCCATGACACGAAGTAAGAGATAATGAAACGCGTGTCTCAAGTGGAAAATGAACTCCAAGGACGTCCCTGTTCATCAGTACGAGTACGCGTACATGAGTAGAGTTGTCCTTGTGTCTTATCCGAGTTTTCTTCCCAGGATGTTCCGAGTTGTTCTTCTGATAACCATGACTTGTGAATTTTTCTCTTCCGGTTATTTGGTAGGAATTTTTACAAGGTGGACCTGAAAAATGAACTGATTTTTGACTCGAAATAGCTCGGTAGCAAATTGAGCGGTGGCAAGTACAAAAAGTGGATTGAATAAGCTTTCATTTGGCTTTTTTGTCATTGCCACAGCAGCTCTGTTTCCAATTGAGCTATTTTGAATAAAAAAATCGGTTCACTTATTTTCTGACCCACCCTTTAAGTAACTTATCTCTTATACTGGGATGTTGATCGTGGACGAAATTTCCACTACAGGCATTTCAGAAGATTCGTTCGTCTAGTTGCACAGGGTTTGATACAGCGATGGAAGAACTGCATCTAAACATTCCATTTGTTTTTATTATTCTTGACAAATTTCAAAAATTTAATCAAATTCGAAATCTACGTTAACAACCGAACACGACACCTTTCATGGCATTTTTGCTCTTCAACGCGCATTGTAAATTAAGTGATACAAGTAGGGAAGTTAAGTGATTCATAAAAAATAGTCGACGAGAAAATCCCTCATTGAAATCCTATTTAGCAAAAGACTGATCCAAGTTATTGGCAAGTGAATTTTCTGTAGGCGAAGTTTTATTTCTGAACACTCCTCCACTTCACATTCACGCATTGACACGAAAAAATCTCAGCCAGTGTTCGAAGAAATACCCCACAAATTACATCGACCCCTGCGTTTTGACGAAAAAAAAAACACGAGAAAATTTGCAATTGTACGATCGTAACCCTTGACCCGAGCATCACAAAGGTCTCTTCTTTTCACAGGCCGATTTTTAGTAAATATTTCCGAAGGAGAATTTCAAAAATACTGAATCTCGAATTTGCATTTCAAAATTTAAACCTCAGACGGATTTTCAACATTTTAAGCGTAATTGCCATCAGTTGGCACGTAATTACAGTACTAAATATATACATACCTTACACAGATCATGCAGGAGGTAAAAAGAAGAATCTGCCTTGAATTTTCTTCCAAATAAGCAAAATATTCATAGCAATCGAAGATTAACTAATTTTTCTCGCGGAGAACGTGAAAAAACACATTTGACTTCACAAACGATAGCGGCAACGAATCAGCTTCACATCAACTAAAAAAACGGGTACATAATCCTAACCTTTCATTCTTCAGATCTCAACTCGCTGATTTCATTTCGCATCCAAAAAGAGAAAACACTTTTAAAATCTCCCTGTGTGCGTGCAATGTTTTGCGAAAGGCCTATGCATATTTCTGTATGGCAGAAAAGGGATGTCTCAAAAACCGCGGGGTAAAAAAGATATAGAGATAGACGAAAAAGTATAGAAGACTATATTCCTGCTGCAGATGGAAACGACACGGTTCGAGATTTGTCTGTAGGTATCACCAGGAAGGAATGGAGGATTTTTCTCGGGGGTCCACGTCGACGGAATCCCTGTGCCTCATTCGATCCCCCCTTGGCATTAATCCCAGGCGCTTCCGGCTCATCTGCCTTTATTGCCTCACCCGAGGGACGGGTCCTAATCACATCCCGACGGAGCTCGCATTGACCCATTCCCGACGCACGGCCCGGCTCATCCAAAGAGCGCTCGCACCTGCAATCGCCTGGGAAAACAAGGAATGAGCAAAAATAGACGTTCATCCGCCAGAATCTGGGGGTATACACAGTTTGCTTGCATGGAATCAGCGGAATTTTGCACAAAAAGGAAAAAAAAGGGTTCTGCCTTATTTGAGTTTTACTCCAAATACAGCAGACTTCAGTCGCAAATTTAATGGAGGAAAGTGCTCCTCAACCTTTTCGGGCTCATGGACTAGGAAATTTCTGTACTTTAAAATTTTTGCACAGACTACAGTAGAAGAAATGTTTCAGATACCTTCTGTGTAAAGTCTCCTTCAACCAAAACTTTCATTGCAAAACTCAAATGAAGAACCAATGAAGCAGTTATAGTGGAATGTCTAAAAGATTAGAAAGCTTGGCTTCAAGAAAGGTTTATTAAAAGGAAGACTTGAAATAATTTATTTCAGGTGGTGAAAATTTGTCTGAAGTGTTAGTATAGGAGAAAAGCCAACTTTTATTTTCCACCAGATAATTTCATCAGCCATCATCTTCCCAAAATGTCACATAAGCCTAACTGATTTCATTACTACCCTTGATTATTTCAAGCAAATAAAAAGAAAGAACAAGAAAAAGTCCAGATGATATACTGTGCACAAATGAAGGGGAATAGTCTCTGAACAAGAAGAACAAATATTTGCCTGTTTTTTTATCAATATGAATTAGGGTCATTTTACAATGAAGTTTATAGTGAATATTTTGTGAATATACAGTTGAACCCTGCACAATAGACCCCCTGTGTAATGGATTGTCTCATCACAACGGACAGTTTCTGGAGGTGGTTTTCCCTCCCACTCAAGGGAGTAAATCTGCCTAACAGATGACTTCTGTTGGTTTCAAATTAACAATAATGAGGGAAGATTTTAATATTTAAATAATTGAATTTGCATAACAGACTTTTCACACAACAGACTAGTCTGTTGCATGAGTTAAGTCCATTGTGTTGGGGTTGACTGTATATAGCTCAATATTTTCAAGAGTGTTCAACTGTTCAACATTGCTTCTGAAGTTTTAATGGTATTTCTTTGAGCGCAAAGAAGAGCATTTGTATCTTTGCATTGCATTTGTCATCATATTCCTAAAAGGCATCTTCTAGCATTTTTCATGAATCAAATTTTTCAGATATCCAAGAAAACTTTTCGAGTTCTGGTTTACTTCTGACAGACTGAAGAAGGATGGCAAATAAATGAACGAAAGCGAAAACTTGGTACTGTACTGTATATTAAACTCTGAGCAACGTCTTGCAGCTGATGAGTTTATAGCCGGGAAGTGCAGTAAAACTTGAAAAAACAAGTTTCTTATCTGCGAACGAATGGAAGTCGCCCAAGCTGCGATAAACTTGGGAAGGGCATAATTTAGTCACACAATTGCACCAGCATGATGAGGGGAAAACTGTAGTGCATCTGATAACAATAAGATAAACATACAACCAGGCATTTTAATGACTTGATGTCAAGAAGTTTGTGGCTATGAGGAAAAGTTGTTATTCAGCCATATCACTTGCTCATGCTGTTGAACTTTACAAAAAGCACGATTCATGCAAGAAAAGCTAGTCAAAATGCTGGAATGCTGATGATGGAAGGATGCTACTTTTATGGATATATTTCCGGGGCAATAAAGATACCGTTGAGAAGACCATAAAAGGACGAATCATCTCTAAGGTACTTCAATATTTGCTCCATCATTCTTTTTTCAGAAATTACATTACTCAGAAACGTCTATGTTTCTATATGTTACCTTCAAGTTTGTCTTTATTTCCGCATATGATTCAATTCCCGGCCAACGAGGTAACGTGGATATTTGATGCACTGTATTGCATATAATATTCCGAAAAATATCAATGAGCTAAAATTTGAGAAATCCGAAGCGTCTCTCAGTAGGCTAATATTTCAGAAACTGTGTATCGTGAATCACGACGAGGAACTGACCTCAGCAAAAACAAAATTCGAAAAAATCGAAACCTTGCATAAATTCAATTTATGGAATAAATTCGCGAATCGCAGAGTCAAACGTTTACAAAATAAAAGGATACTCTCAAAACAAACCGCTCAAACCTTTTCCAGCTATAAAACGGGAATAAATCGACATCGAATCGAAGGAAATTCAAACTTGGTACCCGCTTTTGTTTTTCTAGCTTTCTCTGAATTCAATGAGCATTCTTTTCGCAATTCGTTACTCTCTAGTCTCTACTCACCGTTGAAAATTACGATTACAGATTCAAAAGATTCTCTCCTTTGACGCATGAAATCGATGAATTTTTGAATCTCATCGTTGGATGCACTTCGCTTGGCCCTGCGCCCTCGTATACAAATTAATTCGAAAGACTGAAGTGTTGATCTCTGGGCTCAGCTTGAGGATAATTTGATCATTTGTCTTAGATATCAATATTGTAGAGCATACATGAATGAGGAAATATTATTCTTACCTGACTCAAGCAGTGGAACAAAGCAATGCCTGCGATCCATCCACTTTTGGTCTCCAAGTACCAGGCAAACACTTCATAACAGCCATCGTTGTACTCATTGCCTGTCACAGGATCACGGCACTCGTTGGGGATTTGTTTGCCTATGTCGTCGTAGTCGTCTGAAGTGACCGAACCACAGCAACCAATCTGCAAAGTACCAACATAAATTTGAGATTATGTAAAAAGTTGATGATCGGCGACTTATTTACGAGTTTCGCAGCTTAGCTCGTACTCAGTAAAAAAGGCGAATGTATTATCTCCCCTTGCGGTAAAACTTCCCAGTTACCGTACTTGATATCTGACATTTTGCCGAGTGGTTAATCAAAATGAAAGCTGGGATCACATATGTTTTACAAGTCATATACACAAGCTGAAAATATGCTTCAGGGCTTTGCCGAATATGGTCCAGCATTTTGAAAACAAAAATTCCACAAATAGGCTCATCTATGTTTACGAAGTTTTTCTTCGAAATTAAAAATCTGATTCCGTGACGATATTTTAGAATAAACTTGAAGGCATATACAAAACTTCAAACTTGTGGAAATCATTGTGGTCATCGCAGGAAATTCTGTACTGTGCAACAAATGTGCTTAAGTACTGTACACATTAAAAAAAACGGTGAAGGAATTTAACTCACGCGTTCTTGGATCATATTCATAATTCGTCTTGCTTTCACATCCTCGTCATATCGAGAGATCAATTCGAAAAATCTTGTCTTGAGCCAAGGTGTGAGTTCAGAATATTCGATTCCATTGTTGAGCGTGTAAGCAGCTCCAGCCAGGCTTAAAATGAACGCGATTCCCGTAATGCAGGCGTACTGTAAGTTATAAAAAAAAGGAAAAATCAATCTGGGCGACCGTTTTTATGATTTTGAAATAAATTCCTGCGCCTGTAGGTTTAAAAGTTAACAATCGCACATCAACATTTTCGCCTCTTTTTTTCTCTAGTGAAGAATGTAGATAAAAACGTGAGTTATGAGGAAGCAAACGACGCGTGACACTCGGAAAATTTCGGCGGAAGGAAAAACGGAATGGCAAGGAAAAAAAAAAATTCGAGCACCGCGTCACATACGAGCTGTACAGTGCGATCGAAAATCTCATTATTTTTATCACGTCACAGCAGTCACTCGTCTGGGATTACTGTGTTTCATTCCTCTTTTTTTCGAAGAGAAAATTAAAAATCAACTCACGATTTTCAACAGGGTCGGGCCTTCGTTGAGAGCCATTCCGCAGCCAAAAAATGAGGCAAACATTGACAAGATCCCGGTTGCCAGAAGGACATAAGTTCCTCTCCAGAAATGCTCCAGTCCCAATTCTAGGATCCATTCGCTGAAATCGTCCTGATATCTGATCCATACGGACAGGGCAAACAGCGCAGCTCCAAACAGCTGAAATCAATCGAAATTCGAATGTAATTTATAAAATGCAACTCATCCTCAGAAACTATTCAGACGCGCTTCAGAAATGTTAGAAAAACAACGTTGTCAGTCATGACAGTTAATATCTTAAAACGCATCGGTTAACCATTAATCGCATTCATGATGAATGTTATTTCAACATCACATCGATTTGAACGAGAGGGCTCATTTGTGATCACGAATACTTTAAATTACAGTAATTCAAAACTTTTTCTGAAAATATACACGTGCTGGTGATTGTATATGGATAAATGAAGCATCAGGTGAAAAAAGCATTTTGTGCGGTCGAATATTGCGAATCAAAACAAAACCATGACGATGAACTTATTATCTGTGATGGATTCCCTGCTGTTGTGCAAGCTTGATAAATTTTACAGCGCATTTATTCACGTGCTAGTGCAAAGTATATAGATATTTTGAGCACTAAAAATAAGAGTAGGCAATTCGATTGAAATGAAGGTGGAAGAACAAATCGATTCTGCCGTAAATATAGAAGTTTATTTTTTGCGTCCAGCAGAAAAAAATGTTGACTCAGCACAGTCAGCAGTTATTTCATGCTCATGAGGGGAAAATCAGAATTTTTGTTTTTTTGTCCGATGCGTCATTTTGTGTGTGATCGCGAAATTCACTTATTTTGGTTGTGTATCATGACACTGTTGACTGGCATTCAAAAATCAGGTACTGTATCTTCGAACAAATCCAAGTGCTGCAGAACAGGTAAAATTCAATAGAGCTCATGGTCCTGATAAAACTGGTTTTTAGATAGGCGTTAAATGTAAAGTTGACAACCTGGAGTAGAAGCTTGTGGATATCGCGTCGAGGTAACTTTTATACGTGTCTATAGACTCGCGTTTTTAAAACTTTAAAGTCTTTTTCTACCGTGTAATTTCGATCACCGTTAGTCATCGAATTCTGAACGTGGAAAAGTACACAAAGATCTTATTGTGAGAGGGAATTTAGAAAATTTCGAAGCAAAGGATGAGCTCAAGAAGATACATGTGTATTTAGCATTTGCTAATCTTTTTCATACACTATACGTCACGCAAGTCTGGATATTTGTTTTCTCGAGTCAAGTACAGCACGCACTGTATTATGTAGCATTTCTGCGTGTTTATATCCCGGTAGTGTTGATCAAATGAAAAAGCTTTTGACCCAAAAATAGAATCGTTTTGAGAGTGGGTCAAGTTCTACAACTGCTTTTTTTAGTACATGAAGTCTGTTTACTAAAAGACGCTGCGAAGCAAGGAAGGCAGTATGTACTGAATTGCGTCCAATGACTTTTATGCATTTGTAAAAGATCTCCACTTATACCGGCAATGAAATTTACAATTTTACTTCAACCTCCCTCCCCAATTAAGTCCCCATATATGTCAGCGCAAATAAGCCAGAATTTTACCGTATTGCTCGAAATTGTAATGCGTTCAATAATCTTCTGACTTATATGAATATATTCACTTGATCATGTGTTATTGGGGAAATGCTGACGAGAATGTCTACTTTCGAAGCAATGCGGAAGCGGGGCTCAAATGAAGAGATCAACCCGCGTTTCGATTAGTGTATAGGTTTCCTCTCGTCGCTCGCTATCAGTTATGAACAACCTCGGAATATTGCGCCATGAAATCAAATTCTTAATGTGTGCTTACATTCTGAGTCACTTGCACATGAGATTCCTGTAGAAATCTAGACGGTGAGTTTTACACGTGAGGTATGTGATAAGTTGACGTACAGCACTGTGCTATGTCCTACTTCATGACATTTAATGAAGATGTCACCCTGGGTCTATATATACGCCTGCGTTGCTCACGAACCTGGAACAGGGATACAGCCTCGCAAGTATGACTCTTCTTTTTGAGGTTTTTAACGATGGACTCTCTTATCTCAACTTCAAAATGCAGAAATTAACTGTGCTGAAGAAAATTACGCAGAATCTGCTATTTTGGCATCAGAAAGAGCTCAAAGAAAAATAACAAGTCTGGCTTTACCGTGAAAACTTGATGTAAAAAAACAATCACAAATGTAGCCTGATTTTGATTAGGAATTAGAGTAGCTTTATGGTGAAATATATTTTTAATTTGGTAAAAATAGATACAGTAGCTCAATTTATTCCAGAGAAATATCAGGATTAAGAGAAATAAAATTTGTCTATTTTTCTAAAAATGTTGGGTGAAAGTCCGCATCTTGAGACATTTTCAAGATGTTTCAGAAATATTTTTGTTCGTTATGTATTCCTAATTGGAATCATCCAAGCTCCGGCGTGTCCGTATGTTGGGGTCCCACTGTATGACGTGCTTCTCTATGGCATTTATATCGTATACCTCACGTTTCAAGATAAGTATTATAATAGTTCATTTCTGGAAAAGTGATGAATCGTCTGAAATTTCTATACAGGTATTGAAGTTAGCTGTTGAAAATTCGACGCAGATAATCAAACTGGAATGTTCCCGACACCCGTGCAAGTCCCAATTAGTAACTTCTGTTAACCTGTCGGATGTTATTATGGTTCTTTGGAATACAAGTTTTAAATGCGCAAAATTTCTCAGAATATTCTCGAATTTGGCTGATAGATTTGTGTATATTTTGAAGGACTTGACCCCAGGAAAACCAGGCGGAGCTCTTTAATTGTGCTCCTTCCGTATGACATTTGAGTAATAATTATACAGAAAAGGGGCTTCATGTAGAAATGATATCAATAAAGTGGAGAACTGCCGTTTTTATACGTTCAGCGTTGTAAAATTCTAAAATTTTAGGATTAATTTAGCTGATGAGAAATTCATTGAAACACGCAGTAAATTTTTGAAAATGAAACATGGCTGAGCTTTTTTTTCATGTGTGAAGAAACATTTTCAATGACTGCGCTTTGAATTTCAAAAATACGTGAGTGAAGAAGAAAAAATGTGAGAATAATTTTTCTTACCAATTGTTGTCATCTTGTTCGAGCGAGCATTTTATGTTCCGCTTACTTTTTATTGTTCACAGAAATGCGATAGAATAAGCACACTGAAAAAAAAAGATGTTGTTAACCTAGATACTCTATACTTGTAGCAGGTTCTCTATACGGAAATTACCCATTTTATTTCCTTCCAGGAACAAGTGGTGATTTTCTCCCCCTGCAGCTGTTCCTTGTTTTTCTCCTATGCAAAACAACGTCCGCATTAATGCGTGACGCTTTTCCCTGTAGAAGGCCAAGCGCCTATTTTCCCCCCTCTTTTTATTGCTGACAGTGACAGATGCCACTGTGACGGATTTTCTTTGACACCGCGGGGATCCAAGAGGAAAATCCTCTTGGATATATGTATATTTTTGATTGAATGTATTTTGCCTGATGCGCGCGTTTTACCTGTGTTGTATTATAATTTATGCATGAGGTCTTAAAGAAAAACCTCACGAATTTCTTTNAAGTGCTGCAGAACAGGTAAAATTCAATAGAGCTCATGGTCGACTATTTTGACCAAAAATCTATCCGCAATTTACATTTCAACTGTTGGACCTCATCTTCGAACACCTATAGCGCAGCTCCATTGAAAATATGCACAGATATCTGAGCGCAAAAATTTTGAAATTTCATTTCTTCCACCGTGTATTTTTGCTCACCGTTAGTCATCGAATTCTAAACGTGGAAAAGTACATAAAGATCTTAATGAGAGAGGGAATTCAGGAATCTCGAAGCAAAGGATGAGCTCAAGAAGATGCAAGTGTATTTTGCATTTGCTAATCTTTTTCACACACCATACGTAGGCAAGTCTGGTTATTCGTTCTCTGAAGTCAAGTACAGCACACACTGAATTAGGTAACATTTCTGCGTGTTTATATATCCCGGTAGTGTTGATCAAATGAAAAAGCTTTTGACCCAAAAATAGAATCGTTTCCTCTCACCCAGTTCAAGATGTTGACGAAAAAAATCATGTACTTCAGACAAATGATTTTCTGCGACGCTTCGTTCCTTCCGTCATACATGACTTAACGCAGGTTACTGAAAATACGTAAACATTTTCTTGATACAGGATGAAGTACTGTAAATTACTTCTACAGTGGGACCCAGATATATATGCGGACGCAACGAGTGCTTGGACCTTGTCCCTATGTCGGAGCGTTCATACTGAGAAGAAAAACTCCAAAAATTGAATGGACTTTCTTTTCTCAACTTCAAAATGCAGAAAATAACTGTGCTGAAGAAAATTACGCAGAATCTGATATTTTGGCATCAGAAAGAGCTCAAAGAAAAATAACAAGTCTGACTTTACCGTGAAAACTTGATGTAAAAAAGCAATCACAAATTTAGCCTGATTTTGATTGAGAATTAGAGTAGCTTTATGGTGAAATATATTTTTAATTTTTTAAAAATAAATACAGTAGCTCAATTTATTCCAGAGAAATATCAGGATTCAGAGAAATAAAATGTGTCTATTTTTCTAAAAATTTTGGGTAAAAGTGCGCCTCTTGAGACATCATCAAGATGTTTCAGAACGATTTTTGTTTGTTTGTAATCCTAAGTTGAACCATCCAAGCGTCGCCGTGTCCGTATGTTGGGGTCCCACTGTCTGACGTGCTTTTCTATGGCATATATATCGTATACCTCACGTTTCAAGATAAAAATTATAATAGTTCATTTCTGGAAAAGTGATGGATCGTCTGAAATTTCTATATTGAAGTTAGCTGTTGAAAATTCGACGCAGATAATCAAACTGGAATGTTCCCGACACCCGTGCAAGTCCCAATTATAGTAACTTCTGTTAACCTGTCGGACGTTATTTTGGTTCTTTTGAATGCAAGTTTTAAATGCGCAAAACTTCGAAGAATATTCTCGAATTTGGCTGATAGATTTGTGCATATTTTGAAGGACTTGACCCCAGGAAAACCAGGCGGAGCTCTTTAATTGTGCTCCTTCCGTATGACATTTGAGTAATAATTATACAGAAAAGGGGCTTCATATAGAAATGATATCAATAAAGTGTAGAACTGCCCTTTCTATATGTTCAGGGTTGTAGAATTTCTAAAATTTTAGGATTAATTTAGCTAATGAGAAATTCATTGAAACACGCAGTACATTTTTAAAAATTAAACATGGCTGAGCTTTTTTCATGTGTAAAGACACATTTTCAATGACTGCAATTCGAATTTGAAAAATACGTGTGTGGAGAAGAAAACAATGTGAGAATAATTTTTCTTACCGATTGTTGTCATCTTGTTCGAGCGTACATTTTATGTTCTGCTTCCTTTTTATTGTTCGCAGAAATGCGATAGAATAAGCACACTAAAAAAAACACACATGTCGGGGGAAATAACGTGAACGTGCTTCTTGACCATCTGATCATTTGAGCTGACTTGCGCGTCACTCGCACATGAGTGCAATATCAAATGGGTTCTCCGGACCTCTGTCATTTCAGGTGAGAATATATAGGAAGGCAACAAAGAGCAGGGTTCGCTCTGTGAGAGGAGGGACGGGACCGGAATTTGTTATACAGAAGAAAGAGGCATTCCTCACAGATATTGACACTTCGACCGCTTTCAAGAGGGAAAGAGACCCTGGTCTGGTCGGGGCCCACCTATAGTATATCCCGGGAAATGGGTGAAACGAGGCACAACAATAATGCTGCCTATTTCAGGTAGCCTCGTATAACTAAAAAAGGGCATCTTCTCTCGATTCTCTTCTTGTATAATAAGCTGCTTACTTTCCTAGGGTTCTGCAAAAACTCATTTGTGCAACCATTCTTGAGAACTTCAATGTCAGCTGTTGGAGCGGCTCACTGTCCTTCACAGCAGATAATTATTGCTAGAGGAAATGTGCTTTAAAGTTCGGAACAGTTTTGCATGGATATTGTTTTTTCTGGCAGTTTTTGCTGCCACCCTCATAATTTTGGGCATTTTCGAGTATTTTCAAGGTGCATTTTATGCGAAAATTCCACGAGTTTTTGGCCTGCGTCTTTTCTTCACAGGTTTTAATGTAATGCTGAGGGTGTCAATTAGTGCGATTTTTTTAATCGAAGGGACAAACATTTTCTGTGCGTGGAAAATGTGAAAAAGTCTGCTTTTTTGCGCTAACTATTACATTTATGCTTTGTTAATTGAGGTTAAAAGTTCATCAGGGGGATAAACCACCAACATGAGAAGCAAAACTGGAAGATATGAGAATAAGTTTCCCCTCTCCAAAACCATACTTCCCCTGGCACAGGAACGTCTTCAATTTATGTTTCCTCAGCCAATCGAAGGCTTCAAAAATTGTATGGCGACTTCATCAAGCAATAGATCATGGTCAACAAATTAATCAAAGGTCTTCTTTCTTGTAATACAGTACACAGTTCGACCAGCAGTCTTTGCAGGGAATTGTCACCCCAGAGATTTTTCGAGAGATTTTCTTTTCCACTTTTAAAGAAAGTTCTTGAAGTAAAATTTAAATTATTCTTCAGAATTCTATCAGGAATTCATAGGCAGTCCCAAGCTTATCATTGTTGTTTAGTTTTTTATCTCCGTTTTGAAGTCATTCCTCTTTATTCCTCGATATACGAAACTGTCTCCACAACACCAGAAATCTTTCTTGTTTTGTGGAGACAATTGCAGACCTACATCCAAGAGTAGGGCTATAGAGACAAATAAATAATATAAAAGTCTCGCCTGAATTTGAAGATAAAAATGTCAAGGTTAATGACTTAGGCTCTCCAAAAATTTATCAGTTCATGTGAGATTCCTCTCTGGGATAAAGGATGGTGTGATGCTGAATTTGACTTTGTAATCTCTTCATTGAATTAAGGAACGGCGTGTTTAACATGCCGCGAAAATTGCCTTTGCCAAAGTACTGGTCCAGTACTGCTGCTCATGCAAGGGCAAGATGGAAGATTTTTGCGTCATCACCAACATGCCGGCTTATTGTAATCCCGCGGGATCTCCGTTTTAATTAGCCCTTCTCTGCTCGCTGAAGAAGAGCAGCCCGGGGTGAGCAAATTAGATTCTTGCTCCTCCATTCCTGAAAAGAGGAATCTTTCCCAGCTTATGCGTGTATACATGCTTGCCTAGCTCATCAAGCATTCCATTACATCAAATTAGCTGGAGCACGTCGGCAAGCAACCCGGAAAAAAGTTCTGCTTGTTCTGCAAGGCTACCCGTGAACTTCATGGCTGCGAAAAAATGAATAGGGTACTTTACCCTCCGGGTAACTTACCTTATTGGCCTGAGTTTCGCTCTTCTGGCTTTTGTTTATTGAGCTGAAATCCACGTGCGGCAAGCGGTGCAATATTTTATGCTTTTCGACTGCTGGAATGTTTTATCTGAGCTTCGCGAGAGTGCAGCAGCAATTTTATCTCTTCTCCCATGACAGAATCTTGATAATGAAGATGATTTACACTGGCTTCTAAATTCAGAATACGGAAGAGTCACGCTGTATTTTGAGACATTTTTACTCTACTCAAATCAGTTTTTCCAGGTTTATGCACCTCTTAGTGTTCATACACCGAAATCTGGTAACAAAAAACTTCCGTCAGGGGCCTAAGAGAAATGTGTTGTACTGTAATGATGAATTTGTTACAACGAGACTCATAGTTTTTGAGCATGTAATAATTTTGGGAAACAAGCAATAATGGATTTGAAATACAGTATTTTCTCATTAATGAATTTTCCGGTTTTCCAAATGATTTCGATGAAAGAATTAGGGAAATTCAAAAAGTTAAATCAAGTTATCTTATCAATTTATAGACATAATATCATGAAGATTAGCATTTTGAAGGTTTTTTAATCTCGTATGGCCTATGCGTACATATTCGTAACAAAAATTTGCTATACTGCGATTATAGAGGAAAATTACTTTGACATTATGAAATCATAACATATTATCCCTATGAAGAAACTGCTGGGAACAAGAAAATAATTGGTTTACCCAAATTCATATGAGATGGAGTTTCGCCGTACTGGACTTTATCCCTATTTGCAAATATTGGACGCAATTTCTGTGTGTTCAGTTTATATATATTGCTGAATAATCGAACAGGTTTTTGTATATTTCCAACCTTGTCTCAAAATTTGACGGTTTCCTATTCGTTAGGGTCTCAAATCGTCCCTGTCTGAAGCTGAGGACACTTTTTGAAGTAGAATTGTGTTTGTTTTTCTATACATAAGAATGCGAACATATTCCCTATAGTGAAATTTCAAAAGCTGGCATTCCGGAAATGAAACGAATTGTTATAGTGTCCAACTTTCCTCCAGTGCAAAAAGCTTATTTCTGTATTCTCTCCTTGGCCTGAGGCTCGAACACATGAGAAAAGTCTATTCCGCCAAGATAAGCATTTGCTTAGCTTTTAAATTCCGTTGGGGATTTCTGTTCTATTCTCGGATGGAGACGCGATGCATGATCCAAAAGAAGCCACAACAGTTTCCAAATAATTGCGCATGAAAGAAAAATACAGCACTGTATGCACGTGTCAAGTGACTATATACACCCGCTGAGTAATCCGATTTCAACGGACTTTTTCCGAGAAGTTTGTTCGTCATTTTCTCAAGAACACCCTCATCTAGGTACGCATTCTTCAAAGGTCTTGATTGGAAATGGGTCGCTTTCAATCAATCTTCGCATTGTCATGCGGTGGAAAAAAACACAATTTTTGTTACATTTCATTATACGCACCGAATTGACGAGGGAACTTTGAATAAGTCATTTGTAAAGCGACACCTACATGACAAATAAAAAACTTATAAAGATGATTTGAAGGCGAACACTTATAGTCTCCGCTGCCACGCTCGTCACGAATATTCGAAACTTTGAACTAAAAGCGCGAGTGGGAGCTTAGGAATTGAAGCTGTGTGCTCATGTGTGAAATTTGACAACCAACAAGCCAAGCAAAATGAATGTTGCAGTGATTCCAGGAATGCTCACGTAAAAAAATATGTATTTGAGCGGTATTTGAGGGGGAAAAAATAAAAAATATGGTTGGGAAAAATAACTAACAATGCCGGAGCATTGATTCCTCATTGCCAAAAATCTTGAAAATTTATAGAAATGTCTACCAATTTTTAGCAATTTGTCTCTGTCACTATCATCATTTA